GGGTGTGCAGACTCTGGAGGGGCTCCTTTCAGCCTAAGCGCTATATCGCTCCGATGTGCAACCCGATCCCATAGAATGTAATCAATATATAGTTGTTGCGTGCAACTCGATCAGATAAAATATAATCAATATAATATATTGCGGCGTGCAGCCCGAACCCAAAATGTCACTCTTACTCGGACCCTCGGCCTCACTCTGTCATCAATCTCTCCAGTCTCACTCACGGGCTTACAATGTCATTAAATTAGTCCGGCAACAATGATATGATGTATCAATAAATAATAACTGAGACTTAGATATGGTATGAATGCATGGATATGACTGAGTATGAAATATCAATGAAATCAGTGAGATGACAGTAAGAAATGACCACTATAGGTCCAAACAGTATCGGCATAATGCCTAACAAGATATCTAGCATGATTGACAGCTTAACTACTTTATCACATTGTGAAAACACGGATATCAACAAAGTAGGACCATTATACAGTGCCATGGGAACAACAGAGTCTTAATTCACATGGTGCACGCCCACACACTCGTTCTCACCACAGAACCCAACAAACTTTACAAAATCTAATAACTCATTCAATTACGAGTCCAACCATACTAGTTTCACTCAAATCCGACTCTAATTCGATGTTCAAAACTCAAAACTTCACATTATGAAACTTTAGGCCAAAACCTCCAATTTCCTCTTTAAAATTCACAATTCAATTACCAAAAACGAAGATAGATTAATGAAATATAACAAAAACCTATTAGAGAATACTTCTCCCAATTCATATGGTGAAAAGTGCTTCAAGAATCGCCTCAATCCGAGCTCCATAGCTCCCAAAATATAAAAATGGCTGAAACCGTCGAAATAGAGTACTTTATACTTCTGCCCAGGTATCCTCTTACGCGAACGCGGTAGAAGCCTCGCGTTCGCGAAGCACAAACCCACATTGACTCACTTTGCACTACGCGATCCCGGCAAAATCCTCGCGAATGCGATGAAACACACTGCGAATGCGATGAAGAATCCATATAGACATGGACACGGACGTGAAGACTACAATCTTCAATCCAGTGCGAACCCGACCTCATAAGCGCAAACGCGAAGAACAAATAGCTCCACTGACCAAACACCTTTCGCGATATTGACCAAGCCTTCGCGATCGCGAAGAATGTCAGAAGCAACATGTAACAGCAGAAAAACCAGCAATGCAAAAACCATTTGAAATGATCCGAACTATGTCCGAAACTCACCCGAGCCTCTCGAGACCACGTCCATATGTACCAACAAGTTCCATAACATAATATGGACCTACTCGAGGCCTCAAATCACACATAACAACATCAAAACGATGAATCGCATCTCAAATCAAAATCTATGAACTTTGAAACTTCAAACTTCCACAACTGATGGCGAAAGCTATCAAATCACGTCCGATTGACTTCAAATTTTGCACACAAGTCACATTCGGCATTACGGGCATACACCATCTTCCGAAATTGGAATAGGACCTCGATATCAAAAAGTCCACTCCTGGTCAAACTTTCCAAAATTTTAACTTTCGCCATTTCGAGCCAAATTCAACCACGGACCTCCAAATCAAAATCCGGACACGCTCCTAAGTCCAAAATCACCCAACGGAGCTAACGAAACCATCAAAATTTCAATCTGAGGTCAAATGCTAAAAAGTCAAACTTGGTCAACTCTTTCAAATTTAAAGCTCCCTAGTTGAGAATCATTCTTTCAAATCAATCCTGAATAACTTGAAAATCAAAACTGACAATTCACATTAGTCATAATACATCATACATCATACGGACCTACTCATACCAGTAAACTACCGAGCGAAGTGCAAATGCTCAAAACGGCCGGTTGGGTCATTACAGAAGTGATTTAAGAAATCACAGTAACCGTCCTAGCATGAAATGCATCATGAGAATCACAAATGGGAATTAACCTTAATTTCGCAATAATTTCATATTTGTACATTTGTTGCAGTGTGCAATCCGATCCAACAATATAATCTTTAACATAAAATCCATTGCGGCGTGCAGCCCGATCCCCCAATATAATCTTTCAAATAAATTAGGTTGCGGCGTGCAACCCGATCCAAAAATATAATCTTAAAGTAAAATCCGTAGCAGCGTGGAACCTGATCCCATAATATAATCTTTCAAATAAATTCCGTTGCAGCGTGCAACCCGATCCAACAATATAATTTTGCAAATAAGTTCCGTAGAGGCGTGCAACCTGCTCGAACAATATAATTTTTCAATTAAATTCTGTTGCAGCGTGCAACCCGATCCAACAACAACACAAATTAAGTAATCAATTTACAACCAACTACGGAATACCACAAAGTCAAAAAGAACAACGAGGCTACATAAAGAAGTCACAACTAATGAAAAGGTTATACGATAGCTCACAAAATCAAATAGTAAGGAAATGACAATCCATAAGACAAGGCACAATTTATGAGCATCAACTGACAATTTAGACATGTGGTAGGTAATGCATGAATTCAACGAGTGGTTACAATCAACAATTAGCATATAAGGTGATCTTGACAACAAAGATGGAACATGTGCTAACAATTTCAAGTAAAACACGTACAAACAATTCTAACACAAAAGTTGTAGTCATGAAACAATAGTTACAATTAGTGACATGAAGGGAGCCTAACAATTCAAATAGGTCAAATACCACATATAGGTCGTGTACCCACTCGTCACCTCGCGTACACGACCTTCACATAACACGAATGTCACAGTCATCTCAAATCCTAAGGGGTGGTTTCTCCCACATGAAGTTAGACAAGACACTTACCTTGACGAAATTAAACCAATATTTTAAATGATCTTCGCGAGTGAAGCCACCTCCGGACGGCTCAAATCCCGATGATTCCCTTGAAAATCTCTAGAAAATAAGATCGCCACAAATCGAGCTTCCTTAGTTCAGCTTTTAGTGATATTAAAACCTCCCACTACTCTTAAAACTTCAATCTACATCAACATAATTCAATTTGACAAATATTAGTAAACAAATTTCCAGATTTTTGGTCATTTAGGCATTTTATCAAACACCTAGAATACATAGCATTTTACTACCTCTAGTAATGGTGTTTCTTCATCCAAAAATCCCTCCTTCCCACCAACAAGAAATACTAAACTATCCTTTGTCTATAAACAACCTTCTTTGGCACCATTAAAATCATCAATGAGCTCACATCCACCCAATTATTGCTAATTAATTCATTACAAAATCTCTATAACACCCAATAATCTAGTTAAGTATTTATGGCTTTCAAGCTCCATCCAATAAGTGTTAATACTTATTTATTGCTCACATACTCATAATAAATCCATGCATATATCTACAAGGGTGTAGGATTACCTTTTGGAAGAAATCTTGTCAAAACTCTCTTTTGAGTTCTTGAAAATCTAAGGATTTCATGGCGGATTGAGTTAGTTTTAGAGTGGAAATGATAGAATGAAATACCAAATTAGTAGGGATTACTCACCTTGGAGATGGGAGAAGTTGGAGGTCTTGAGAGAGTGGAGGAAACTCCTAAAATTCGGCTAAGAGGAATCGGGAAAAATGAACCCCGAAATGAGTATATAATATTTTCAGCGCCACAGGTGGCGTGGGGTGCTACCTGTGGCCAAATTTCCAAAACCTCAAAATTTCCAGCGCCAGGGCTAGCGCCCCACGCTACCCTGGGCACTGGAGATGGGAAAACTTTTCTATTTCGCTCGGACATGAGCATAACTCTCTCATACGATGTCCGAATTCGATGACTTATTTTGCTATGGCTCTATAATTTCAATACAGATTTAATGCTTCAATCAAAACAAAATTTGGAGCACATTTTCTTAATGTGATACCACTTATGTTTGAAGAAACGACGTCGAAACATTCTAGAAATGTCCAAATTCTACATTCGATGCCGAAACATATCAAATCAAGTCTGATTGACCTCGAATTTTGCACACAAGTCATAAACGACATAACAGACCTATCAAAATTTACATAACTGAATTCCGACCCCGATATCAATAAAGTCAACTCCAGGTCAATCTTCCAAACCTTCCATTTTCAACTTTCGCCATTTCAAGTCAAAATCAACTACGAACTTCAAAATAAATATCTGGACGCATTCTTAAGTCCAAAATTACCATACAGAGCTATTGGAATCATAAAAATTCTATTTCGGAGTCGTTTGCTCAAAAGTTGACTCTTCAGTCAACTCTTTTCTTTTAAGCTTAATTGTTCTTTTAATTTGATCCTGAATCGTCCGAAAACCATACTCAACCACACACGCAAGTCATAATACGTATTACGAGGTTGCTCGAGATCTTAAGCCGCTGAACGGGACACTAATTCTCAAAATAACAAGTCGGGTCGTTACATGAAGATAGTTGGAGTCTCTTCCACAAGCAAACGGAAGAATAAATGACAACTCTATCTTCGGGGTTTCAACTAAGCCACATAATACGTAGCATTCAAGAATGTTGCTCTTCTATCTTGGATCTATGAGTTCACCATTTGATCAATGTATATTATAATATGATCCCTCTTTTTCACTTTTACTTGGCACGTTTTGATTTTTCACGTCCCTTAAAAAATAATAAATGAAGTGCATAATTTACCATGATACCCATATTAATTGATGCATATTTTATTGGATTTGAGAAAATTATTTGAAATGAGTAAAAAATACTATGGGTATAACAAGAATTTTTTTTTTTGTCTTGTGAACGGAGGGAGTATATTTTAAGGGAAAAGTAGTTTGTGAATTGCCTATGTTTCCAAAGAAAATCAGCCCTATTTATAGGCTAAAAACTCTTGAAAGACAAGTTTTTCATTTAATAAAGATCATGAATATGTTCATGAATTTGGAAGATCAAAATGTTAAGGCTAAAACCAAAATGTTTGTAGTAAATCAAGAATGAATATAATTCACATTCATTCACTTTGGAAAATAAAGAACCTTTTTATCAAATACATTAATAAATATGTTAATTTATCAAATACATTTCCAACACAAATAACACATCACTTTCAAAAAGGAAAAGAAACAAATAGACAGAAACTAAATACCAGATGTTGTACACTTTAGAGATTACATATATATGACATAAAATTAATCATAGGTTTTCAAGAATTAGTTTCTGACGCGGCAATTCTTCCTGATTTCTCCAGCATTTCCAGTAAGAACTTCAATAGCTCCCATTTTCTGCATGGATTTAGCAAACTCAGAAAAAAAGGCATTAGTTTTTTGCAGTTGTTTTACAACTTTAGCTGATTTTTTGTCTGTGAGGAGGGCTGCATCAGATTGGAACAACCCTTTGTTCTGAGTAAGGATGTTGAAATAATTGCTGTCAAATGAAGTTGAGCTCTGAGGGTCCATTTCCACTGTAGTGGCTGGGTTGGCTGGATTAGGGCACAATTGTTTCAAAGATTCAGCATAAGTGGAACTCAAAGATGGATCCACGTCACCTTTGCCAGTGAAATTGAAGAGTCTTCTAGAGAAAGCTCCACAATGAGCAACACCAATGGTGTGAGCACCTGCATGCATGAATGAAGTATATTACTCTGGGATTTAACTTATATATACTCACAGTGTGTATTTAGTCACACTTTTTTATGGACTTGATAATGTATGAACTAATCCATTATACAATCAGGGTTGAAGATAAAAGGTTACATACAAATTCATCCGAACCCAGTAACATTAGTAAAATTTTATACTTGCATTTAGAAATCTAGTAAATATATATAAAAATTAAATTCAAAATCCAGTTATTAATATATGATGTTGCTATCATAAAACTTAAAACCCATAAATTCAAATCCTCTGCATACAGTTCGTTTTGTATGATTAATATTTTACCTGATAATGCAACAAGATCATTGACATTTAGGCCTTTCTTTGCAAACAGTTGCTGAAGGGTGGCAAAATCTGAGAATGGTGAAGGTAAGTTTCCATTCACTTCACTTGCAAGGGAAACATTCCCGTCTTTTCTTCCGGTCGCCACGTCCCATAGTGATTTCTTAAACTGCAAAACTCAGAGAAGAAGAAATAATTAAAGAGCATGCTTTATTATGTACAGATATATATACATATGAATACTGAATTCTTTATACTATATACTTACTCGAAAAGAAACAGCGTCACGAGTAGCTAATGCTAAAATGTCTGCACAAGAAACAATCCCAGGACATTTTTCCTCAACTTGTCGCTTGATATCATCAATTACATCGAAACCACCCAAGGAGAGGTTTGGCCTGGCCTCCTTCTCAAATTGATCTGTTCCAACTTTATCGAGCAATATCGATGCATCACATCCCTGCAAAATTGCATAGCAAATAATGCCAATGAATAATGTTAGAAGAAATATGATAAATAATATGCTATAACATAGTATTAAATTACAGTGATACTATAAAAAAGATCTTCGTGTATAAAAAATAAATTCTATGAGATTAACGTGTGCATAATATGTAGTAATTCTAATTCGTATACGTACCCTAACGAAACAATCATGGTAGTGGAGTCGAAGCAATTTAGCACCCAACGTGGAGTCATTCTTAGCTTTGCTCCAAGTGATATCTCTAACAAATTGTTCAGCATTTGGACAACGAGTGCTCTTGTAGAAATTCTTGCGTGGCACATTATTTCCTGCACCCGAAACTCCACAAACAACAATAGAAAGAAAAACAAGAAAAATATTACTTAGTAGCAGTAATTGAGCAGTTCCCATTTTCTTTTTATTCCTTGCTAGGAAATGAAAACAAGACAATAATGTCGACGGACTTAAACCTAATTAGAAATAAGATGATGAGAAACCAAATGAATTAAGGCACAATGGATTTACCCTTCAAGGAAAGTTTCCTTTTATAGGCAAAGCTGCAAGGCGATAGCTAGTGGGATGATACAAATAATTGCTCACATGATTTTGGCCTTAGTTTATGGGTCGTGTCGACTTTATCTTCACAAAGTCCCCACTAATATGACTCCTAAAATACATACTACGAGTAGTAGTTAGCAAATACAACCCTCCCAGGAACTTGTCAATTCCTTCAAGTTCACTCTTAGTCTCGTAATATTAATAAGTTCTGAATTTAAATTTTAAATATATTTAATGATTTTTTTATTAAAGCTATTAGGTTCGGTCAAACTCGTAAGTATGATGACCCAAAAGGTCATCTTATATTTTAGAACTCGAATCTCCGCTCTTAAACCTTAAAAATCTCATTTTTTT